TCCGAAGAGCGGGTAGACAGTGAGGTTGTTGATGCCGGCGGAGCCGTTTGCGAAGCGGAAGCGGACAGCGACGTCGTCGGCGGCCGGGCTGGCGGAGGTGGCGTTGGTGACGAGCTCAAAGACCATGGAGGAGGCGTAGTCGACGACGGTCTGGAAGTCGGCCGAGACCTTTTGCAGCTGGGCGAGGCCGAAGAAGGACGAGAAGCTGGCGTAGGCGCCGAACTGGATGTTGGCCTTGACGGAGGAGGACTTTGCTGCGTCCTTGAGCGTTGCGTTGAGGGCCTGGAGGACCTGGCCGGCCAGCACCTTGCCGGCGACGGCGCGGATGGGGTCGCTCTCGTTGTAGGCAAGGTTCCACTCGTGGATGTTGGCGTAGTCAGTCAGCGAGCGGATGGTGGCGTTGGTGAGGAGGGAGTCGGAGGGGATGCTGTCGTTGTGGATCCTGGCGACGTTGATGAGGTCGAAGATGGAGTAGGCGTTCTCAAAGGTGGCGGCCTTTGCGCCGAACGTGCCGTTGATGACGGGCAGCAGGCTCTGGTAGAAGTCGTGGGACTCGGCGTCGACGGCGGCGTACTCGGGCGAGGAGAAGTAGTTGTTGGAGCTGACGACGGCTTTGCCGCAGCCGCTGCCGCCCTGGAGCCACTCGCTGCTCTCGGCGTTTGTGCTGGTGGAGGCCGTGGCGACGGCGTTGACGGGTATGTACTGGTATCCGCCGAGGGGCGCCTCGACGCTGGAGCCGTTGGCGAGGGCCTCGACGGTGCCGGAGGGCGGGTAGAAGCCCTGGAGGAAGGCGTTGGCCGAGGACTGTAGGACGACGTCGGTGGGGGAGGTGACGGAGAGCTGCTCCGGGAGGACGTCGTCGGTGCTCATGTTGCGGATCTGGTGGGTGGCGTTTTCGCGGACGTAGAGCCGGCCGTATTCCAGGCCGGAGGTGTAGACCTCGTAGGCGCCGAGGTCGGTGAAGCGGACGGGAGGCGTCTTCTTGGCTGTGCGGTCGCCGTGGCGGTGGAAGACGTAGATGCCGAGGACGGTCTCTGCGGCCGCGGGCATGATGGGCAGGCCCATTGCCAGGAGGTGCTTGAGTCCCATGTTTGTGATGTATTGTTGGACTCTGTGAGGGTGTTAGCTCGACTGGTGATACTGATGTCCACTGGCTATAAGAGTTGATGTATGCATGAACACATCAAGCAGAGTCCTCCACTTACTCGATATTAACCAATTGAACTACCAGCAACTTGCTGCACACAAGTCGAGTACCCGCCGAAGTGTGAAAACGGCCGATGAGATAAGCTTAAAGCCGGGTTGCAATTCCTGTAAAGAAGAAAAAGCAATAAAATTGACGGCCCGTCAGCAGTTCAGATAAACCTCACGAGAGTTGAAGAGACTAAGACGATCGGGAGTCTCCTCGAGTCCCCTCGCGCAGCCGGGTACCGCCGGCCCTTTTATGTCACAACCGACAGTCGGACTTTTCGACGCTTCAAGAAGTTAGAGTCGCCTTCAAAGAAATCCTGCAGCCCACACATGGTTCAGCGACAAATGTTCCATGCCTCCTCCCCAATCCCTAGCATGGTTCGACCCGCTTCATTGCTCTGGGCCAGTCGATGGTTGGCGATAAAGGAGGGGTAACAAGAGAAGGGTTCAAATAAAAACGCACTAGACCCATGGATCAGCATCCACCGGGCCAGGTCCTATCACTCTGCAGTCAAAAAGTACGATTTCACTGCAACCGTGGGCGGCGCGAGCGGGTGAGTCTTGCTGCTTATCCGCATGGCGGGCAATGGCGGGAATGGATGGATGCCACCACCATGCCACTCACGTCTGCGTAGCAATTCGTGTGGCCAATTAGTCAAGCTGTTCCTGAAGGCTCCGCCAATGGTAAGCTATCACCTGCAGGTCGAGGGATGTGGATGCCGGCTTGGCTCGAAAAGCTTGAGTGCGCCGCACCCTGTCCGGTCTTTGGAAGACGCTAATTAGTTGGCTTGGTGACCGACCCGGTAAGAAAGAAAAGTGTGTTCGGGGGCAGCTTTGCAGCAGCAAGCATCTCCGCTCCCGTCCGCGGGGCGGCTCGGCCTGTCGGCGGCTGGGAGATATGTATCTAAGTAGCCTGAGTAGAATTGTGGTGCCGATAGCCGCTTTGCTCAAGGATTGGAGGTTCTGATTGATAAAACGTGAGGTAGGATTGTACAAAATGTCAAAAGATCCGGGACATTTCTGTAAACGACTATGATTCGTTCAATACAGTGCCATTTCCTACGGTTCTTCAATATATCTAACAAGCTGAGCGGGTCAACAGCCACGCCCTTACGATGTCAACTTACAATCTCTCCACCCCCGGTCGATGGAATTCCTTTGTCCGCGGACTTGCTGGAGGTGATCCTCCCTACCCCACCACGGCTGATTTCTCGATGTCGATTACAACTTCGACTCCGTCTTTCGGCCGCTCTTTACGTGCTTTGAGATTTCTCCCTTCAGAAGGAAATCCGGGTATTGCATGTCGTCGTCTGTTCCAACCGCTAGTGCACCCTGGCGTCTCCAAGCACCGCCGTCAACAGGGATTGCTTGACCGTTGACGAAGCTGCCGGCGTCGCTGAAGAGGTAGACGGTGGAATCGGCAATGTCCCGGATGACGCCCCACCGACCCTGCGGCACCACGGCGTTGGCCTTGGCCTGGTCCTGCTTGCTGCTGGACAGCCGTTGCATGCCCTCCGTATCCTTGATCGGCCCGGGGGCAATCACATTGCTTGTGACTCCGAACGGGCCATACTCCAACGTCACCGAGGCCATGAGAGCATCGACGGCCGCTTTGGCGGCTGAGACATGTGCTTGCAGCGGCATACCTGTCCAGTGGAATGTGGCAGAGACGAAAATGATGCGGCCTCCGGTCAGGCCGTTTTGGCTGGGCGTGGGATTCTTCTTTGCCGACTCTACCAGGTAGGGAATGGTAGCCTTTACAGTGTTGAAAGTGCCCAAGACATCAATATCGATGACCGCCTTGAATGCATTGGGGCTCATGCCGGACAAGGGTGCGATGAAGTTGCCAGCAGCTCCCGCACTGTTGGTAATAAGGTTGTCAGCAGTCTACCCCAGGATGAGACCCTTGTGAATCGGGCGCTTACATGACGAAGTCGATGCCGCCGAGCTCCTTGGCGCATCGATCTGCGGCGTCTTGCAGGCTTTGGGGCTAGATATAAATTGTTAGCCGCAACATATCTTGAAGGAATGCGTGTGGATGAGCATATACATTTCTGACATCACAGCCGCCGATACCAATGACCTTTGCACCAGGCCTGGCTGTGGCTATGTCCTTTGCCATGGACTCTGTCTTTTCGACATTGCGGCCGATGATGCAGGCATTTGCTCCTAGGCGGACAAGAGCCCGAGTTTGAGCACTGCAAATGCTTCCTGCGCCGCCGGTGACAAAGGCGACTCTGTTGTCTGCACAAGAGAGTTAGTATTGACGGTGCTGGTAAGGTGGCAGCAGACAAAACACTATGTGCGAAAGTCACTCACTAAAGATGCCATCCTTCCAGACCGGACTCAAATACTCGGACTCGGGAATAGGCATGTTTGCAGGGACCAGATGTGGGTGATGAGGGATGGGACAGAGACAATGAACAAGGTATCACAGGTGGTTTGAGATGATGACGTGTGGGACCCTGTTTCCACAAGATTAAGGCGATAGATGCTGATTGTTTGGGGACCCTGACGATGGATGTTTGGTGGATCCGTTGGCTGCACAAAGATATCGGAGGTTGCACGAATGTCGAACCTTTATGTTACACGATGAAGAAGAAACCAAAAAGAGTCCGGTTGGTGCGATGTCTTGTTGTGCAACGGCCACGGCAAAGGTGCAGCTCAGATGGCAGGCGGTGGTAGCGCGTCGGACCTTGGGACCTCGGCAACGGAAGGTAAGGATAGACACCGAGTGCGGAGCCTTCCGCGGCATGTCAAACCCAAATGATTAGTTATTCCGCTGCTGACTCATCCAGAGCTCAGCCACGATGGGATCACGGGGAACCCCAAGACACAAGTTGGGAAAGGAGCTGCTGATTGGTGGGGAGGCAACAGTCTAACAGAGGAAAGAGAGCACCAGTTCTCTCCTTCCAGCCTCCAAACGCACCTAACCCTCCCGCACGGGGTCTAATTTAGCGCGGTTTCCTCAGTCTCCCGAACCAACGACTCTCCTCCAGGTGTGCACCTTCCCCATTCCTTCTTCATGTGCTGGTCACCGAATGCAGCGCTCAATTGACCCAGCATCAGCATCTCTGACCTCCGATCGTGATCATACATGTGTTGGATGCATCATTGCACACTGACTGACACGTCATTTGCTATCGCAGCCCAGAAGAATGGAAGCTCCAGAAGCTCGGGTCCGCAACTTCTTCAACATCGGCATCCCAGGAACCTGGCGCCGGTAATATTCGCATCGTAAACGTTGCAATGTCTTCAAAGGAACAATGTACCACGTGAGACTGAAGAAATGAATAGTCGACAGAGATTTTCTCTGTATTCAGCTGGTTCTTTCCAAGGCGTCTCTGGCAACAAAAGTTGTCACCTGCCAAGTCGTACGATGCACGGCGAAGAATACGTGAAGATATCCCCTGTCAAAACATATTCTCTTCATTAAGTCGCATGCAGCGGCTCGAGTCCGCGGCGCGGCGAAGCGAACGATTGGGTATTGCAGGGTAGTACCCCCAGTTCTGACCCGTCGAACACCCACACGACTTGCAATTGTCGTACATCCGGCCTGTTATTCTCATTGAGGCAACCGTATGTACGATAGAGCTCTGTTGGAAAACAAGCAGTCTGTACCCATGAGCGAGCTGCATCCGTGCCGCCAATATGCAGTATTTATTTCCCAGCCAAGGAGAGGGGTAAAACACGCACTCTCTGAACTCTTTAAGAGTCGCAACACAGGAACCCCACGCCTGCGGTTCCCTTCAGTGTCGGACAAACGTACTCTCTAATCTTACAGTGGACCATCTGTGAAATCTTACACAATGTGCAACGATGAGGTCGCAGGCGCAGGCCCAGTCATCATCGCCGAGGACAGGGTAACAAATCCTCAGCCTCGTAATGGACTGATGGCATCTAACACCTTGACTAGGTTTGGGATGACAGTTCATCAGACCATGCTTCTGTAAGTTGTTCCTGTCATTGCTCGAATCTGGTCTTGGAACAGTCTCTAATGTTTGGACTAGAGCTTTGCGTCGTCAACCACCAGCTTGACTAGCTCTATCTTTCAACATCGCATAGAGAATGGCAGGACTTACCACAGATATAAAGACGGCAGTAAGCAATTGATCACAGGTCTATTTACGCATGTATTCAAGGTGGCTAATTGATACAGAATATACTATGCCAAATGACGAAAAAGAGGCCGATAGACTAGGTTCGATTTACTCCTAACCTCACGCCTTGTAACCTCGTCTCACACCACGTTCAGATCTACAGCACAACCTGTTCCTCCTCACGTTTCTAAACAGGCTTGGGCGGGCTCCTCCCGGCGACAAGGACTCTGGCGTGAAGCGAGTTCTCGACATCGGCACAGGCACCGGTCTCTGGGCCATCGAGTTTGCAGATGAGCACCCCGAGGCTGAGGTATGTGTGGAAAAGGCCTTTCTGATGTGTCTTTGAGCAAATATTGATGCTAGATTCTAGGTTTACGGCGTGGATCTTTCGCCTGTCCAGACAACTGCGTGCGTCTCCGGCATCCGAGGTTCATAAAAAATACTTCAACATTCTTCAAGCTGATCCGCTCTAGTCTTCCCCCGAATGTGAAGTTTGAAGTAGACGACGTCGAAGAACCTTGGACGTATTCGAGACCGTTCGACTACGTCCATACGAGGATGATGACCATGAGCGTAGGTGATTGGTCCAAGTTATTCAAACAAGCCTTCAAGTAAGTTTCCCAGTATGTGTGACAGGCACAGACTAATCCTACAGACACTTGGAAGTCGGCGGATATTTGGAAATCCAAGAATGCGACCTCAATCCTCGCTGTGATGACGGTACCCTCACCTCAGATCATGCAATGACCAAGTGGATCAACCTGCTTGGCGAAGCCATGGTAGTATTTGGACGGCCTTTTGTTGACATCCCTGAGCTGGTGTCCGTGATGGAAGATGCCGGCTTCGTCGACGTCAAGATTGAGTCATACAAGTGGCCCATCAACGAGTGGCCGAAGGACCCTCACTACAAGGAAATTGGCGCATGGACGCATGCCAATTTCATGGAAGGCCTCGAGGCTTGGACTCTGGCTCCGTACACTCGGGCGCTGAACTGGGAACCTGAGGAGGTCCTCGTCTTCATGGCTGAGGTGCGCAACAACTTGAGGAATCGTAACATTCATGCCTATTGGCCAATGTAAGTCTCAAAACTTCTGGTCAAAATTTTACCGGTGCTGACATGGGATTAAGCTACTCGGTTTACGGTAGAAAACCCGAAGAGAAGGAGGCAGAGGAGCCGGCGACCTGAAGCCAGCCAAGGTGAAGCTGCTAACGGAATGCCGGATCAACTAACGAAGCGTTGCATGGGTCAGGAGGTATTGAAAGATACCGTTTTCTTGTCGCACAGAGAGTCAAGCTTTCTTGCAATGAATAGAGACTCTTCATCTCGTTTGATTTTGTATATTCGTGTCAGTGTGCTCGCATGGCCTGAGGTGTGTCCCCGGAGAACACTGAAGGATTGTTCGCTTGAGCTATTTTCATCTATCAATTAAGAAGCTCACTTTGAGCGATCGGAAATATCCCCTGTAGCAAAGATACGTCCGTAAGGCACCCTGCTATTGCGCCGTTGGAAGCAAGCAGTACCCACGCACCAACCTAGCACCTTGTCACCAACATCACATATCCATGTCTGGCCAAGAAGAGGGGCGGACTCCTGTTCCAACACAGATAAATGGTTCGCAGCCATTCGGATCTCGACTCTTGTCATCCTCTCTGATAGAGCCAGGGGAACTAGCGACGCAGGTATCATCGTATCTTTCGGAACTCAGCAATTATCATGTGTAACGACCAATCCGGGCCTCCGGTCAACCATGGGCCTGTCATTGTGGCTGATGAAGTGAGAGTGCCGCCCTACCTTAACGCGAGTGAACGACACTAAACTTAATTACAGATTACGGATGATAACGCATCAGAAAGATTGACGGTAAGCAATCGTTGACGTTTGACTCCGCAAAGAAGCAAGTGCATAACCTTTCCCCGCAGAGTATCGCATCTTCAACTCACAGCTTATCGAGCTCGATCCTTCAACACCGTCATGAAAATGGCAGAACTTACCACAAATACAAAGCGGGAAGTACGTTATTTTGATATTGCTGGTCTTTCAGTCGTCTGACCTTGTATCTTAGGATACAACTACCCTAATGACGAACGGGAGATGGATAGGTTAGGTATGTGCTCACATATACTCCATAAACTGTACCGCCACGTTAAGCTTATCTCATACCCAATTATTTCTTTAGATTTCCAACATGAGCTCTTCCTCTTGACCCTTCATGAAAGACTGGGGCTTGCTCCACCGAACGAGCCAGGCTCGAAGGTCAATCGCGTACTCGACCTGGGGACCGGTACTGGCATCTGGGCTATTGACTTCGCCGATGAACACCCGGAAGCAGTGGTGAGCAATCTAAAAGAGTTTAATATCCGCGGAAGCTGAAGCTAAAGTCAGGTATACGGCGTAGACCTCTCGCCTACACAAACGACCGCGTATGGACGAACATCCATGGGGAACTTTTCTGACATACTAATATTCATCATCTAGCGTCCCACCCAACATCAGATTTGAGGTTGACGATATAGAAGAGACATGGACATACCGTGAGCCGTTCGATTACATACACTGCCGTGCAATGACGTCGTCTATATCAGATTGGAGGAAGCTCCTCCAGCAAGCATACGAGTAAGGGCCCTCCTAATCTCCAAACACGTAATCTACTGATCCCTATCAGCCATCTTGAGCCCGGGGGTTGGTTCGAATTGCAAGAAGGTCATGTCCGACCCTTGTCCGACGACGGGACGCTAACTCGAGAGCACTCACTATCAAGATGGGCAGATTACATCGAAGAGGCGTGTAATATCATGGGCCGCCCTTTTGTAAATGTGCTTTCCCTTGTGGAAGTCATGAGAGAGATCGGCTACGTCAATGTGACGTATAGCACGTTCAAGTGGCCTCTCAATACTTGGCCCAAGGATGAGCATTATCAGACCCTCGGCCATTTTAACCATGAGAATTACATGGAAGGGATTGAAGGCTTCACACTTGCGCCTTTCACTAGGGCCCTCAAGTGGTCACGGGAAGCGGTCGATATGTTTCTCGTTGGCGTGCGGAACGATCTGAGAAACAGATATATACACGCATACATTCCCATGTGAGTAAATTCAACCCGGCGGGGCGACTCTCACTTCTTCTTCTAACCATTAATAGTCAGTTGATACATGCGCGCAAGCCTGAGAGGTTGAATAAAGATTGATGGTTGAGGGCACCAGGCCGCGATGAACTGAAGAATGTTGACGAAGTTGGTACCAGATGCCCCAGAGACGACAGAGGAAGAAGATTTTCAAGTAACATTCAACCTCGCGACTCTGTTACGACCCTGTGTTGGAAGTTTGAAGGCCCACATGTCGCTCATGAAGACATACAAATTGGGTCGTTTGTTGTCTCTCGAACTAATGCAACGGCCCAAGGCCGCGGCACGGGTTGGTCAGGTGGAATCTGCAACTCGATATAAACCGGCCAAAGAGAGAAAATACTGATTCGCCACGTCGTACACTCCTGCTACTTTTGTCTTAGAACGATGGGCAGCTGATTCTGATACGTTCAAAACCCTGGTTCTGTTGGAAGAAGGCTCCAACAGCAAACAATAATCCTTGTCACCAACATGCATAATTGTCTCCATTCCAGAAGAGGGGTAGCAGTTCTTGTTCCACAGATTCGATAAAATCGTTCACGTATCCGTCGCGCTCCTCTTGTCTTTGCTGCAATTACTGAGCGGATTGTAAATCTTCCGGATACACACCGAGGGCTCACAAAACTTGTTTCATGATGGCGGACAATACAACCGAACCGGTGCCTGACAATGGCCCCGTCATGGCGGCGGACGATGTAAGTCGCAGCTCCTAAATGAGCGCCTCCTCAGTACTGACTACCGCATAGTTCAGTGATGATGCTTCATCTGATAGGGCAACTGTAAGTCTATGGGAAAATAGAACCCTGTGTCTGGTATGAGCGGCCTAATGAATCTAGAGCATCGCGTCTTCCAGTACAAGTCTGTCCAGCTCAATCCTCCAGCATCGTATCGAGAACGGGAGGACGTACCACAAGTACAAGGAAGGCAGTAAGTCGATGAATTAGCCAGGTGATTTTCGCGACACTAATGAATACAGAATACAACTATCCGAATGATGAGAAGGAGAGTGACAGGCTGGGTACCTCACCCTTACACTTTTCTTCTTCCGCATCATCTCATGTCCATTACAGATCTTCAGCACAACCTGTATCTACTCACGCTCGACTACAAGTTGGGTCTTGCTCCCCCGAATGAGAACAACAGAGCCCAGCGTGTGCTTGACATTGGAACTGGAACCGGGTTGTGGGCCATTGACTTCGGGGATGAACACCCCGAGGCCGAGGTAAGGACACCAGCACCAATTCCATGCAAGAAGCGCTAAGTTTTGCAATAGGTGCTCGGAATAGATCTCACACCAGTCCCCACGGCATTGTACGATCCGATTCCTCTCGCATTGCCGCACGTGTAATATACTAATGACTCTATAGCGTCCCTCCCAATGTCAAGTTCGAGGTCGATGATGCTGAAGAGCCCTGGACCTTCAGTCAGCCATTTGATTACATCCACATTCGTGGTATGACCTCAAGCATCGGTGATTGGAAAAAGTTTTTCCAAAAGACATTCAAGTAAATGGTTTCCGGATCCGCTTACATTGAGTCTGTACACTGACCTGTCAGCAACCTTACGCCAGGTGGCTACGTCGAGCTGTTTGAGGGTCACATGCGGCCCGACTGCGACGACGGAACCTTGACGTCTGACCACGCTTTCATCAAGTGGGTAGACAAGATCGAGGAGGCCTGTAACATCTTCGGTCGGCCGTTTATCAATATCCCCAGTCTGATCCCTATACTCAAGGAAGTCGGGTTCGTGGATATCGAGATGGTCAAGTACAAGTGGCCCCTCAACAACTGGCCAAAGGACCCCCACTACAAGGAGCTTGGCGAGTGGAATCTCGAGAATTTCCTCGAGGGTATCGAGGGATGGAGTATGGCTCCTTTGACCAGGGCCCTCGAATGGACGAAGGAGGAAGTCAACGTTTTCCTCATTCAAGTTAGGAATGACTTGAAGGATAGAAGAATTCACGCCTACACCCCCCTGTAAGTCTCCTCCCCCTGGGATCGAGCAGAATTCTGTTTTCGCCTGCAGCTCTACCTCATCTCGAACGTGACTGACCAGGTACAGCTACCTGATCCACGCGAGAAGACCTCCTGCGACCGAGGCTTGAAGTTGCGCAAGGTTCGAAGATAACCTGAACCTTTGGGGGTCGGCAGGGTAGGCGATGTTGAAGTAGCTGGTGAAGCTGGCGGATGAAGGTGTGTCGAGGAACCTGAATGTAGCAAGCACAGCCTATAATGACAAAATGGATTTAAATATTTCACTCTTCTCATCTTCTCGCACAAAGACATGGCTTGACACTTCCGGAGAGGCGACACCCGTTTTAAGTCGACGAGATGAAAGGAGAAAGCTCAAGACTGGGTATGACCGGCTTCTGGGAGATCGATGGCCGACGGAGCAAGGGCGTCTTGTCTCCAGCTTTCCAGCTTGGCAGTATGGTATCGTCTAGGTAGCTCGGTAAAGATAAAGAAGACGAAGTCGAGATAACAAGACGTGATTATGCTCTTTGTGCAGGCGAGACAAGGTGATTTGTGCAACCTCGGGCCAGCTTCGGGACTAATGCAAGGCGCACGGATAATTTAAGCTCACAGTACCCCATACCGCTGACGGGAAACTCCACCACAGGTACCCACCCGCAGTCCCGGCCAACCAGGTGGTCGCCAAACAAGCAACGGAAACAGCCCCTCTCTTTTTCAGGACTTATTCCCGCGCGAAAGAGCGGCAAGCGGCAAGGCGGGAAACGTCGTCAATGAGCGTCAGCGTCAGTCAATCAATCCGGCCATTTCCACCTACCCAAAACATCTTACCATCTTGTGACGCCTAACTGGTCAGGCCGGAAACCATCTACCTACCCCCAGAACCTAGGTCACATCAAGTTCCCAGTCACTCCAGTCCAACAAAGAGTGATACGCTATACCGCCCCTCCCCGCCCCGCCTTGCCGGTCAGCAGCAAGCAGCGACCCTACCGACTGATAGTTTGACGACACATCCCGTGCCTCACACCTTCACGAACTTCGACTTTACATCCTTTCCCGCCCATCGACCGCCCACCTCCAACGCCTCCTTTCCGAATCCCTCACGAATTCCGCACCAGCCACCATGGCTTCCAAAGGAGTCTCTCTCCTGAAGTTCGTGGGAACTGTTTCCCTCGGTCTTCTGACTGTACGTTTCACCGCCCTCCCACCGCAGCTCGGTTCACCGTCGGACCATCATCAGTGACGCCACTATCCCATCCCCATCCACCCCTCCCCCTCCAACTCCCCGCATTCAGGACGCTCCGGGATGCCGAGCCACCCTGTACCCCAATTATGAAATGCTTCATCCAAGTCATACTAACACACGCGCGCGCAATAGGGCCTCTCCTACTCCCTCTCAGCCGTAACAGTCCCCTCGATCCTCTCCCTCCCCTCCGCCTCCGACGCCCTCCGCGCCTTCAAGAACCTCTACCCAACCGCGACCGCCCGACTCCGCCTCCTCACCGGCGTATCCGCAACCTCCTTCCTCCTCGCCTTCTTCCTCTCCCCGCGCGCCTTCCGCCACCCCTATCTCGTCTACGCCTCCGTCCTCACCCTCACCTCTGGTCTCGCCGAGCAAATTACCCCCTACGTCCTCAAGAGCAGCCCCGAGTCCTCCAAGGAATCCATCGCCGCCCGCCGCCAGGCCGCCCGCGACCGCGAGCAGAAGCGTAAAGCCGCGCGCATCGCTCGCCAGGAGGCGCGCATGGAGGCCAGCTACGAGGTCCTCGGCGACACCCACAGCGACGGCGCCGGCAGCGCGAGCGGCGACGAGTCTTCGGCTGCGGCTGCTGAGGCCGAGGAGGAGGCGCTCAACGGCGAGGAGGTCCGCGGCGAGGTGGACGGGTTCAGGAAGACGCAGCTCGTGCAGTCTGCCGTCGCCTCGGTCGGCTTCCTGCTGTCCGTCATCGGCATCTGGGGCGATGGTGCCATTCAGGTCTTCAAGACCGAGACTGTGATTGTTGGTGTATGAGAAAGAGACGCCCAGCGGGATGCTGAGTTGAGCAAGGGTTGTGTTGTACCCAAATCGCGAAATTGCTGCTGTTGCGTATAGGAAGCTTTTTGAGATTACGTGGACGGGAAACGATGCCCACACTATACTATACTATACTAGTACTGCTTGCCAGAGAGAAAGCCGTCATACTCGTTACATATTATCCTCTACTATACCGGCCTAACTGGACACCGGACAACATGACAAAATAGACCATTAAAAACCTAATCTACTTGCTAAAGATTACACGGTCTTTTTGTAGCGTGATGCTCTGCCTCTACGGCCTAGCCCCGTTATTTCATACCTCATTGAAGCTTCCTGGCTGGCACCCAGCCCTCGGCTCACCAGTCTTTCCACTTCCGTTCTTTTTCGTTCTCCCATATAGGCAGCATGCTTTGGAACGATCGTTCGAAAATCATATGACGGCTCAAGACTTTAACCTCTCACTACCCGCCATATCGTCCTGCGCATCCTTGATCAGGAAGCTAGTCAAGTGTCAGCGGTCAACTCAGCAAGCTAATCTTGGTGTCACTGCCGACTCACTTGTACATGAGTACCGTTGGCGGGATCGTGCCAAGGTGCCATAAACTGTGCGCATCCAATGCACCCCACACGGGTGGGAAGTCAAACAGCTCCAGACTCATGACCATGACGACCACCGCGACGACGATACTCGGCCAGATGGCCCATGTCCTCCGTGACTGCCTATACTTGTTCAAACTGAACCACAACCACATGAGGTTCTGAATCACGCCGATAATAACGTTGGCCGTCATGTTGTACGTGTAATCCCACCGCACGCCCTTGAGGTAGGCAATGTGCCCGGCGTAAAGCAGCACGCACAGCAGCGTCCACGCGCGCAGGACCGACCTCCGGCGCGGCGTCGGCCGGTCGAGGCGCATGATGCGCACCACGGTGTAGTACAGCCCGTACAGCACGCTCGCGCCCGCAGCAAAGTAGTCGAGCTGCTCCGTGGCGACAAAGTCGCGCGTGTGGAAGATTGCGCTGAACGTCCACGAGGCGATGCCCACACCCGCGAGCCACTCGTACCAGGGCCGCAGCGGGTACGACGCCGGGATGACGGCGCGGAGCTTGCGCCAGCCGTTCTGGTGGGCCCAGAGGTTGCCCAAGCTGAAGAGGGTGCTGGCGGGTTCCTGGATGCCCAGCATGCGTGGGAAGGGCCATTTTCCGTGGAACTGGACCACGCGCTCGCCGGCGGCAAGGCGCTCTTTTGTGATTATGTGTTGGCAGGCGTAGTCGCATTCGGAGGCGCAGGTCCAGAGGAGGAGGCGGCGGTGGAAGGCTGTTGGTAGGGGTTCATGTGTTAGCTATTCAGTCACCTTGTGGTGTGCGGGCAGGAAGGGGGAGAAACGTACGGATTGGCGTAGCATCTTTGCCGGGAGCGCAGTTCTCATCGTGGCAGACCTGGATCGCGAGGGAAGCGCAGAGCAGTATGTCAGTCACAAGAGACACTAGAGAGAGTTTTCTCAAGCATTGCTAGTTGCGAGCGCGAGCACAAGATTGCGCGCGCGCCTATGTTTGTGTATGTGGTGGGCACCAACTTGGACGCATTCTCGGAACTCTGGTAACCGATCGCCGTACGAGGCCTCGACGGCTACTGCGAAGATGAGGATTGCGGCGATGACTAGGAACAGAGGAGACTTTGATGGTCTCCCCGCTCGTGAGCTGTTCATGGCGTCTGCATCTATTGTCTGGTGGTGTTCGTATGCGAGCGGTCTTGTCGGCTCTCGAATCGGAGGGTGTGTCGCGTGCTACGTGGTCGGAGTGAGGGTTGGTCAGGGCGGGAGGTGGAGGGAGGAAAGTCAACATGAAGGTACGGAGTAAGGTAAGCTATGGTAATGGAAGGTATCCGTACGGAAACATGGGACACAAGGGTTCGGAGGTCTCGGACGGCTAGAGCCCTGTCACCGCGGGTTACATTGGTCGAATAAAGGTCCCGGTCAAGGTACAAGTAAGCTCCAGCTGCGCTGGCGGGGAATTCGCGTGCTTAATTGGCCGCGCTTTCCGGGGGCCATGAATTTGGCGGGGTTCATTCAATATCCAATATTAATACACCAGGCAGAAGTGCCCATTCATCCAAGGCCGAGTAATCCCCAGTTCTCACAACTTCAATCGCAACTTCGGTCTGCATCGAAATGACAAGAGCCATCATTGCGGGATTCGCTTGTGTTCTTCAGCGCAGGTAACAACACCATACGAATTCAAGCGGCTCATCCATTAAGCAACAGGAAGGACTCTGCCAACTTCTATTCATCAACCCAGATTGTCAGGTACAGTAACGGTCAAGGTAATACCAGTCCCATGTCTGTCAAGGTTATGCACTTGCTACATGAAGAAGCACCTCTGCAACCGCCGGGCGATTGCATTCTCTTGCCCGATCAAGAGCTGTCTGACCTGACACCGTCCTCGCATTCACATCGACACCAGCGTCGAGGAGAACCCTAGCCTTGGCATCAGACTCATGTCCAAACCCCAGGAACAGGGCATCCGGGCTCCCCGCCGTCAAGTGCAGCGCCGTCTCGCCGTCGTTGGTCCTCGCACCCATGTCAGCCCCGGCCGCAAGCAGGATCCGGACATGTTCGGCGTCCCCCCACGCAGCTGCGGCGTGTAGGGGAGTCTTTCCTTCGTCATCCGTCGCCTCGAGGTCCGCGCCGGCCCCGAGCAAGAGTCCTATCAGCTCCGCCGAGAACGAGGCCGCTCGATGCAGCAGGGTGTCGCCGCCCTGGCCTCGGACGGAAACGTCGGCGCCCTTTTCTATCATGAGCTTGACCGAGGCCGGCGCGTCGGAGAGGGAGTGCAGGGCGGCCGTGTCTCCTTTGTTGTCGAGGGCGCTCATGTCGGCGCCGGCGTCGAGAAGCACCTGGACCACGCCGAGGTGGCCGCGACTAGCAGAATGATGCAGGGGCGACTGTCCGTAGCAGTCTCTGGCAGTGACGTCCGCGCCAGCAGCGATGAGCAGCTTGGCGATCTCCTCCTCTCCCGCCCTGGCCGCTTGGTGCAGCGGGGTCTCGTCGTCCATGGTGCGGGCGTTGACGTTGGTTCCGGCCCCGATGAGCATTTGCACTTGCTCGATTCCGCCGTCGGCGGCCGCCATATGCAGAGGCGTTTGGCCGTCGTAGGAGACTGCAGAAGCGTCGGCTCCGGCGTCGAGCAGGGCTTTCATGGCTTCTGCGCTTCCTGGCCGCCCGGTGAAGTGGATCAACTGGTGTCGGCCAGGCATCGATGTCTGCGAGACGTCGGCTCCGTTGAGGATGAGCTCCACTAGCCGTTGCGTGTTGCCGTTTAACGCTGCATTATAAAGACATTCGTGCTCGCAGAAGTGTTTCGGACAGTCGTTTGATTTTAAGCACATGTTGCGTGACGGGGCGAAACGTGCACAAGCAGGTGACAAGACACTCAGTAATAGAATAACTGATCCGTGTCGAGGTAACATAGAGAGATCGCGTTTTTGCTTTTTGAGCAATGAGTCTTTGGCGATTAAACCACATTGCCTCAGGTGAAGAGTTGTCAATTCCTTTTGAACCTTTTCAGGAGCCATCTCTAGCCTGGGGCGTTGGTAGGCAGAAGCAGCGGATTAAACTCTATAAGTTGAATGCTAGGCCGAGAATGGCATGTATCCACAAGACACGAGATGGGTCTCCGACACATCACGACCAACAGACATTTTTGAGCGAGGAATTTCTCAGGCACGATACCCGAAGAGCACGGATCTTAGGCAGAAGTGGCAGGCATCATGGTTCACCAAGAGTCGTGAGTCGATCTAAGTGGGGAACGAGATTTCGTAGCTTGTGAATCTTCCACACGGCTCGTGAACCAAGACCGTACTCCTCGACACAACTTGCAACATCTTAGTCAGTAGGTACAATTACAACAGAAGTAGAAGCCAGTGTGATTCATTGACTCCTGCTACCTACTTGCAGTACCTTGGACCCATGGCTTCGTTGAAGTACCCTTTCGAGTTTCAGGCATCGATGACCTCCTCAATCGACTAGATCAACGTCGGGGTGGTCAAGAGGAGATTGGGAAGGCTATAAAGAGACCGACTAGCATGCAGCCAAACTTGAGACATACTGAAGTCAAGTAGCACCCATATGCAGCAAGGAATGAGTATATGAATTGATATATAGAGGCCGGCATTGTCTGAGAAGGTATTTAACAAGAGCTGATCAGAAGCTAAAGGCCTGAAGGGACGAAGAAGAGGTAAGGTACAGATTTGAAAGTCGGAAATTTGGCTTTATAATTGGGAAGTCGAGTGTTAATGGCATTGACTAGGCCTGTAACTACATCATCGCAGAGGAATATTAACGTTGCTGTCCAATGTGTCTGTTATTGACGCCACGAGTATTCCTGCTAGAATACTGCCGGAATGACAACTAGTAAAATGTCAATTTGTTGTTCTTACAGATAGAACCTAAACTTATTGGTCATGCTGTACCCTGATCTGATAGGATTAGTGACCTTCCCCAGTCAAGGATGAACGAAAAGATGGTAATCCTATGCGTCCTTCCGTCGCTAAGAGAGTCGCGACCGCAGTGGCGTTGGTAGAAGAGTGCTTAGAGTAGGATATTGCAATATATATGTATATACTGACTTGGGGGATAGGCAGGAGTTTCAGTACAACAGTTAGACTTTCATTAAAGAAGTGAAAACATATGGAGGTTGTGGCTGTTTGGAAGCGAGCTTACATCAGTAGTGGCTACTTGAATGCTTGTCTTCCTGCACTCAGGTTCAATCTGGATATGAGCACGACCCGAACGTCTCATGAGATCAACATCTCTTGTCGAGGTAAATACATTAAATGATTAAATGGCTTTATGACACAGCACTGCTATCCTGTTGTTGTGTCGTCTATATGGTATTCGGCAGTTACTTTGGAAGCTCGAACTTTCCCAGGTTAGTCTTTCAAGTCAGTGAAGCCCGATGATCACTCTCATCGTAATTCTTCAGGTTGGTGTGAATTCCGGACTCTGTAATCATCTCTATACGAGTATTCTCGAAAATTGGGCAATTTGGCCTTCTTGGTCTTCGATAGAGAGGCGGCCTTCACACAAGTTGCAGATGTCCTGCCCTCAATGACATACGTCGCCTGCCTCTATGATATAGCGACACAGAACGCCCGCTTTCTGCCAAATATGAATTAGTCGATCAAGAGGTAAGGGCACCTAGCTAGTGAAACTGTATGGATGCTAGTGTGGAATATTATCCTCGATATGAGGCCAACGTAGATGGCTCGGTACCTGCAGGGCCTGCCAGGCATGCCATCTTGGCCACTCCTTGTGACCGTGTGTAGTTTGATAGGCATTGAGGAGCCGCTATGGCCATCGTGAATCGTGGGAAGGCCATTCTGCATGGCAGGATCAAAATCTGCATAAAAATGTAGCAAACAGGGGAAGACCAGTGCAAGAACCACTGGCCTAGGCAGATCAAGTAGTGAGACTACTTGCTTCGCCATTTTACGCCCTGAGCTGATCCGATCCGAGAGAAAGGTTGATGTCCGAAGACAGACTTAGTGAACTATTCTTCTCGGGTATGGAGACCAGATCCAATGTCAGACAGTGTATATGCCGGATCAGAGAACCTCGGAAAGAATTCCTGCAAGGGCTTGACGGCATCGGGAGCCTTGGATAAGACTCGGAGAGCGTTGATGATATAATTTTCATTCACAGAATGTCGTTGACTACTGACGCACGCCCTTGTCTCCGTCAACGATCGTGCATCCCCTACTTTATTATATCCAGCCACCTCTTTCTACTTCTGTATGGCAGCGCCCGAGTATATGAAGGTGGCGAAGTTTACGATACCCGGAACCAAAGCCTCATCTTTGAGCAGCTTCTTTACGCGGAAGATGTAAGTGCGCTTAGCTACATTGATACTCCTTGATTATTGGAGGTTCAACGTGCACACTTGCCTTGATTTCAGCGTGGAACCAATCACTTTCAACCCAACTTTGGAAACATACTTATCGACTGTGAAATAGCTGGGTTCCACGGGAAGCCCAAGAAACATCGGTATAGAGGTTCCTGAAGCTGCCGAACCTCATCGGAACCAAGAGTAATGAGATGTCTTGCTTTTTCACACTTCATTCAAGAGCCTTGACGGCGTAAGAGGCCCAGCAGCCTCAGCTATCACCCCTCATTTTCTCAGTATGAGGTGGTCACAATTCAGCAGATGCTGATTACGGGTGGTGCCATTGCGTCTGGCTCTGGGACCCCGTTTGATTACGATGTGTTTCGCCGGCTCCGATGTGACGAATACCTACGGGATCCACTTGACCCGGCCCAAGACTGCAGCCGGTCGGCGGTGGGGTGGCTTTACTCGCCGGGCCCGGAGCGGTCTGACGCCTGCAAGCACCGGTGCTGGGCAGCCGCGAACAGAACATGAACAGCACAAAAGAGAAAAGAAATACCGGACCGCCAAGGAGTCAACCGGCAACGGCAATCCGTTTGTACGGGATGTGGCATAAGGCAAACAGCACGCCGAGTCCGCGGACCAAGACCGGGGGCCAAGAGCTGCAGCGGAGGACAGGGATATCAGGGACTAAGAAGTTGAGAAGCAAGGATGGGAGGGACGCGGAGTGGGTCATCTCAGCCTTGGCCCCTGTGGGGGCATTCCTGTTTCAATTTCCAAAGGACCACAAGTCCTGACGTAGGTGTCAATTTCAACCCGCCAGACCAGGCCACTTTGGGCGTATCAATCAACAAACCCGTGGCACTCAATCACAACACCATCAGACTCCCGTCGAGTCTCACTCCAATCCAGCTCCAGCCAGTCTCCATCAGCCTCTCTTTACCTTAACCTTGGTAGCAGCAGCTTGCCGCGGCACGTTGTTATTTACTGTTACGGTTTAACCCTTTATTGACCCGTTGACCCATCGACCAGTCCTTCTTCACAGGCCTCCCATACCGGCACACCTTCCTTGCATGCCGCTAAATTTTACCTCTCGAATCGGTTCACCCACTTAGCGCACATGTATTCCTGATCGATGCGCACTACGTACTTCTTTGGAGGAAGACAGAAACACAGAGAGCCATTGCCAGAGTCGGCGTTACATTGTGCGATGTGTGAGTGGTGCCTTTTGGCTTTTTTTGCCCGGGAGCTGCCCTGCAAGCATGGAACCGGCGTGTTTACCCAATGCGAGCTGGTCTGTTATGGCCCATGGGTTGGCCGTTTGTGGGAGCTCTGGCCACTTAACTCATCGTCATCCCAACCCCAGAGCCCCCCCAAAGATGCACACGCGCCAGCAAACAGATCGCTGACGAGGACCTTGACCTTGGCAGCTGAGAGATTGGGGGAACGCCCGTCCGCACACTTCAACGCTCCAATGCTCTCCGGCTGTCACCGACCACTCACGGCCCTCGCCTCATCCCAAAAACCAAGGCTACGCAACGCGCACATTCAATCAACTTGAGGTGAGGGACGAGGGAGAAGAGGAGGGGGACATACAGATGATGGAACGCCAACACGTTGTCAACCGATAAGCCTCAAAACCAATGGCAGGAGACGGGTCGTTGCTTACTTTTTTTTTTTGAAGGCAGCAGGAAGCTACCTAACTTACGTAGTGTGGGTTGATGCAGAGCAAGGTGGTCTACGCGTAGTATTACGGATACTCACACACGAATAGGATCAGATGGAAAGACCTCGGACCTGGTTCTTACACAGGAATTAGCTTATTAGCATACTGCATGTCTCTCTACATGGAGTCAGGTGGGTTGATTTGCTGCAGCAAGGATTGCGGACTTGGACTGAGGTGAAGGCCCGGTCCTCCTGGCGCTGGCCTCTTCAATTCGAGGGATACAAATCAAGGGGAATCTCGGAGGCCGCCTTCAAAGGTACCTACTTTACCATATCCACCTGGTAGATAGTTGTGAATACAAGAATGGCATTGTGCTTGGGGGCGAAAACTTGTCGATGACGGCCAGAAAGTTGGCCATCGCCACAGCAAAGAAGCCAGCACTCGGCCAACACCACTAACGGCACCACCAAGGCCACCATCACAAAGTGTCCTTCTCTATCGAGTCTGTCCTAGAGTGTCGCAAAACTCCATGACGGCCTCTCCTTGGACCCAGTCCGACTGTACATAGTACTGTCCGTCACAGGTTCACCCCTAGAAACCGCCCCCGGTCCACCTTTCACCCTGCTGCAGCTCACAGCACGAACGGACAGGGCAGCCTGGGCGGCTTCATACCGAACCTGGACCTCCCTAGCTCGAGTTTCCAGCTGTAGCGCAGCAGCTCACCTCAGACCAGGACGTTGCCCACAGCGGTTGCGTAGTGGACTCTCCCCACCACCGCCGATAATCCCTGCCACTTTAATTCCTAGCTCGCGTCACTCTGCGCTACCTTGGCCCAGCAG